GGAGTAAACAAAGCAGGTTGAATTTAGAAAACCGAATTGTAACTTTTAGGAAAGTGTTTGGGAATAGAAATAGAGTATCATAATTTAAAGGGCAAATCATTTTATATGAAGCTATTGTTAGGAATAAGAGACTTTCTGAAATGTATTGGCAAAGTTGTCAGTTTAATTTGTTTTAATTTTTAAATCTTTATTGGGAGTGTTAAGTAACTCATGTCTTTCACACTTTAAGGTAATGAAATATAAGGGAAGGTCAAACGTTAATCAAAGCTAGTAACCCACCGAGAAGGGAAGAAAGTCAATTTACAGCAAAGAGATGATTTTTTGATTTAATGCTTTAAATATGTGCTGTATTAAAATGTTACTGCTGTCTAGTAGAGCAGAGGACAGGGCTAAAACTATTAAAGGAAATGCAGTATTTTAGTATTCTAAAGTAGTGAAATTATCAAAGGGCTGCTACTTAGTAACAGTGACGTATTTGAGTGTCAGCTTTATTCATGAGATAATATATGTAGCACAATGCAGTGTGTAAAATTTGTTCTTAATAGTTAGAAATCACCTGTGGAGGTGTGTAAAACAGTAGATAAGTAGCTAGCATTATAAATTCCTAAAACCTACACAGGTTCTTATATGGCATAGAGGAGTAAAAGTAAAGTCTTCATGCAGTTTTTGTGTTGAGGAAATGACGTAAGATCTTGAGCTGGGGCAGAGGTTTGCTTTTAAAAGTAATATGATCTGCCCTGTGGGGGACTGTATGCTCTTATCAGTGCCTGGAGCGCACAGCAGCAGCAGAGGTAGCCGAGATTGTCTGAAGGGCAAGCAAGCTGTGAGGGATTCTTAAAAATGAGAATGGTGAGAGAGAGAAGCAAGTTCAGGCTTCTCTGTGCTCCAGTTGGAGACAGGGTTGATCTGACAAGCTCGGTAGTACCATGTGAGTAAATGGCACTGAGAGATGCAGGGAAATAAGGGGGAAGGCTATTTTTAATACAGAGTTCTCAGAGGTGGAGGGCCTTTGTAGTGCGGCAGCATTACTGTGCCACTCCCACAGGCTTAATTTCTGGTGGGAATCTTCCCTTCTTACCTCTTTATCACTAAGTGTGAGGGTCGGATAGAAAATGTGTTTTGATTTCTATTGAGTTGATGCCTCTAGAACAAAAATGGTTTGGAGTTGTTTTCTTGCTTTTTATATCATCCTGTTGCTTCTCTCATTCCTGTTTCTGCATGTTTTAATACCCATTATTTCTGTTCATCCTGTGGCATACCATGCTTTTTTCTTTTTCTGTTAACTTTCTGTGAAGCTTGAGCTTTCTGTCATACATCCTCTGATGTAGCTCCTAATCAAGACTTACCCTTATTTTCAGGGCTAGATATCTTGGTTTTGGACTCGTAGGTGCTACTAGGATGAAGTATTTTGAGCTATGCTTGGTTGTGAGTCAAATTGTTTGCATACAGATTAATCTCTTCCTCTAGCTTTTCTTTTGCTGTGTTTCCCATTACATGTTGCCTCTTCTCATGTCCTTATCTGCCTTCTGCCTTATGCTTCCTTCTTCAGCTATATTGCTGTTGCTTTTTTGTATTTCAAGAGCAACACTGGCAGTTTAGGAAGAGTGAATCATATGAATAACTTTTCTATTGCTTGGAAAAAAACATTGTCCAGGGAGAGCAGCACCGAAAGTTAAAATTTTCCGGCTTCTTAGAAGGGGAAAGCTTACAGGGAGGTGGTCTACTACATGCATCTTTCTTTCTTTGTAGTTTCTTGCAAGACAAAAGCAGATGTGCTGCTGCTGCTAATACCACGTTATTCTGGGATAAGAGGCCTAGCTACAGTTGGTCTTGATCACTTCTTGTCGGGTTTTGTACCAGGGGCTGCAGAACATGTCTTTACTTCATTAGTACCATAACTCTGGTTGTATCATCTGTGTTGTGCATTTAATGTGCTGTGGGTGCTTGTTCACCTGACTTTGTCCAGCAGAAAGCATCTTGTGCTGCCACAGTGACAGAGCTGCTATGGAAATGGAGCCAGTAAAGTCCATGTTCCTTTCACTGCTGTTCCTCTCCTCAAATGTGTGGGTCTGCTTAGGTTCAGGGGGGCAAGTTTGACCTGTGTGGCCATGTCAATATCGTGTCCCTTGGTGCATCCTGCAGTGCTGAAGATCTTAGACTCTTCTTGTCTGGAATGAAAGTTGGTTATATTTTATGCCTTTAATTCTTGCAGTGCTTTTGGTCCTAGACCTGATTTCTAACATCTAAGAGATGGATATAGGGACTGGCAGAGCACAAGAAGAGGCAAAGACAATATAAGAAGCGAGCTTTAACAAGCCATATAGTTTCAAACTAAATAAAAACCTCAGGCAAGTCAAGATGTTAGTGTATTATGGGGTGAGGGAGGATGGGCGTTATCCCATACTGTCTCTTTCCTGGGGAAAAAAGCACATGTCCTGTTTAACATTGATAAATGACCTGGAGGAGGCAATGGAGTGCGCCCAAATTGCAAATGACACCCAACTGGGCAACAGTCAATATGCTGGAGGCTGCTCATTCAGAGGGACCTAGATAGGCTGGGGGATTGGGCCAACAGGAACCCTGTGAAATTCAGCAAGGAGAGACACAAAGTCCTGTGTTAGGAGTTACTGAATTCAGTAGCCCTTTTCCCTCTTGTTTTCCTGTGCTTGTTCTCCCCAATTTCCCTGTTGCCTAGTATCACACAAATCTTGTACACTCCTACGTGCTCTTCCCTACCATTCCCTAGTGAGTCGTATAGCCCTGTGGGCATCAGTGTCCCTCGGCAGGAAAGGTGATCTGGGCTCTGCAGACCCTCATTGGAGGTTTTCAAGACTCAGCTGGATAAAGCCTTGAGCAGCTTAATTCTACCTCATAGCTGACCCTGTTTTCAGCGAGAGGTTGAGCTAGAGATCTCCTGAGGTCCTTTCTAACCTGACTTACCTACCTATTCTAAAAGTTGCTGCTGAACTGTAAATAGAGTTGTTTGTTTGCATCATAACTTGCTAACAATCTGTTTTAAATCTGCATATTGCAGTCTTGTTCTGCCTATTGATGATACTTATTTGGCAGACTAGCAAAATACTTCCATTTCTGAATCACTCCTTTCTCAAATCTAAAAAGTTGTTTAATATTTGCCATTATTAGTGAATTCCTCAGTCTCTGTCAAAGTTTGTTTTTTTTCTTTTTTAATGTAGTTCTAGCATTGGAAACTAGAATAGGTCTCTCTGCTGTCTCTTAAAAGTGATTTTGCTAAATCAGTGTTAAAACTTATCAACATCACGGACAATTTTTAAACAACAGTTACACTATTTTGTTGAGATGGTACAAACGGTAGTTAAAATGTGCCAGTATGGCATACTATTGTGTACTGGATTTTTTTTCCAGAGAATCAAATGTGTATTAGTGGTATGAGCTGTAAGGCAAATTCCATTCTAGGGCTTCTAAACCAGGACTTCTTACATTTTAACTGCATGATTAAATTCAGGTATCTGTTCACTGTGTGCCATGAATGAGCACAGTAAGGTGAAAATAGAAATACTGGTTTTGTAAGTTAGTGTTTAAAAACTACTTGATATGGTCTACTTTCATAGCTGACTCTGGCCTTTTTGAGGTGGGAAATTCCTGATTAAACAATCTTTGTGTTCCTAAATAGACGTTGGCTACCTTACTTAGACAGTAGAGATTCAAAATTACAGTGGTCTGCATCCTGGACCGGTGTCAGAGCAATACTGCTGAACTAAGATGAGTGATGTTGTAAGCCAAGTACTTGGAAAACATCCAGGTCTGGATACCAGTGTTGTGTACCAGTGGGAATCTGGAATGAGAAGTCTTGGGGACACACGTACTTCTGCAATTACGTTCACTTGCTGACGCATGAGGGCTGTGGTTGTGCTATGGTTAGGTGCAGCAGCACAAAACATTCACATGGTTAAGACTTCCAGCACCATGACCGTTTGTGCATGCTTTGGCTATTATTTAACCAGAGTTCTGTTGGTTGAGTGCATAAAAAGCTCTTCAGATTTTTTTTTTTTCTTTAAAAGTTGATGGTAATTCTTAGATGACTGCCACCTCAAAATACTAACGTGTGCAAGTTTGCGAGCTTGTGTGCTTTTATGGTTAGCATGGCATAAGTAGCACACAGGAAGATCAGAATGACTAATATAAATGGATGCAAATTTGCTCTTTCCAGGATGCACAGGATCATGGTACTAGATGATTCTGTTCATATATTCACATAAGTCAGTGTCCCTGTAGCATGACTTCCTCAAAACAGCTGTTTCTTCTGTCAAAGCTAATGCAGCTCTAAATTTCATCATGGTGTTTACAGTTTCATCAACAAATTTTACTGATCGCTTCCATCTTAATCTAAGGGAGTAATATATCCTCATCTAATGTCATCACTGGTTCATTGTGGCAAAGGATTAAAACAAATGTTTTGTTCTTCAGTGGTTCTATATTAGCTGTACAGGGTTTTACACTATTCTGTTCTTTCAGAATTTCAAGAAAGATCCATGTTTTGATACTTATCAGCACTGCAAAAGTTACTTATTACATTCTTTTATAAGACCACAGAGATTTTTTCCTGCCCAATTGTTGTTTTTAGTTATGCTCTTGATAAAGTTCTAGCTTTCTGCCCTCTACTGAGCACAGGCTCCGCATCCAGCTACCCTAATGTGCCAGGGCACATACTGACTTTTGAAGATGTATGTTGTTTTCTGAGATCTCCCTTTCCAGATTTTGTTTTGATGGAAACCATAAGCTACTTCGGAGCTTCATGGCAGTAGGAATAATTCCATGGGCTTTTTTTCAGAGGGGAAAATGTCAGATTTTTGTTTATCTTGGCAAAAGTAAGGTTTTGCTTTAGGAAGACAGCCCATTTTATGTGTTTCTGATCATGTCTCCATCACTGTGCTTGAGCATTTTAAGGCTGGGTGGGAATCGTTGCAGTAATCGTCATCTTCTGTTAAAGGTATCTCCTTTTTTTGTCCTTTCTGTTTCAGATTTAGCTTTGGAATCTAATCCATCTGATCATCCCAGAGCAAGCACAATTTTTCTGAGCAAGTCTCAAACGGATGGTAAGCTAAGTTTTTTCCAATTAGAAAAAAAAAGCAGGAGAAAAACTGGAAAAATAACTGCCTATTTTAATTATACAGCTCAAGAAAACTTATATTGCTTTAATTCTTTCAAAGCATAGGGATTAATAATTTGTGTGTTTACACAGAAATGGGTTTGTAGGCTGTTTTACTTAACACTTAAAAACACTTGTTCTTCTAAACGCTCAAATATCAGGATATTTCTGGTCCTAGTAGTCTGCAGGAGCAAGGCTTTCTTCACTTGTGTAGTTCAAGCTTCAAGCAGTGGTGGGTTTTTTTTATGATCAAGGACTGTTTTAAAAATTGCTTTAAATTAAAAATAAAAAAGGCAGTTTTCTGCAAGGAATAATAAGCCTAAGCCATCAGTCTATATCAGTTCCTTTTGAATATGCTGGTTTAAACTGTTTGAATAGTTTCAGTGGCATAATTATTCTTGAATCCTGGTTTCAGCTTCTCTGGGGATCCCTTGTTTACTTAATAAAGTCAATTTTGAACAATTACTATAGCTTGTGCATTCCAAAATGCTGTTAAAAAGTAGAGGCATTTCCATATTGCACAAATAAAAAAGACTTCTGACAATAGTAAATTTTGAAGTTGCAACTAAAAAGGAGTTTAAGATTCTTTTAAAAATGCTTCTGTTCCTTTTATAGTTGGTTCTTGCTTGAAACGCTGTTTTTTCTAAGACAGTGTTGTACTTGAGATTGGATATGTTGATGGAAAGCTGCAGTGTGTCTTCTACCTTGGCATAGCTTTGCCACAGAAAGGTAGAATTATTTTGACAGGTCTATCAATTGCAGTCCTGCTAATCAGAGTCTTATGGAAAGTAGTAAAATTATCAGTTGTATCAACTTTGCAATGCTCAGATAATCTGTGAGCAGTGGAAACAAGCTCTGGCATGATTTTCCAGAAGAGGTGGTACCAAGGAAGTGTAGGCCTCTTTCCTCGAGGCCTCTAAGGTCAGTCTTCAAATGGACAGAGGATCTGACCTGCACATTTCAAACGCCTCTTAGATGAGCGCTGCTTAAGTTGCAATTAGCAAGCTGCCATAGTTCTTGAACGTTGTAGTACAGCGTTGCTGTGCATCCTTTCAACCTTGCTGCAAATAACCTTCAAACTATGTGAACATCCTGTGTTGGGGGTAGTATTGCTTTTAGACATGATTCAGTATTCTTCAAATGTAATGCATTGAAATGTATACGCTTGTGTTCATGTAGAAAAATGGTCTGATAGGTGAGATTATAACTATTAAACTATTCTCAGAAGTTTGTATTAGTTGGATGAATTGATTTTTACAGGATATTTTTATCGACAAGTCGGGCAGAAGAATTTATTTTCTAATTTCACTGAAACTTGTTTAGTTAACCTTCCACAGAAATAGTAGAATTAATATCTGTAAATTCTCCCTTACTGAGATGTTATCAGGATTATGAGTTTAGATTTATGCAAAAAGACCCCCAAAAATTGGATACTCTCTTCCAATTGTTAATTTTTCTGAAGATGTAAGAGAATGTGTCCTGTTAACAAGTGGTAATGATCTGAGGTCAAAACTTTGGGGAAGTCACCTGTCCAGGCTGGTCACATTTGTATAGCTTTCTGCATGCATGCAGCTCTCAGCTCTCCTTTAACAGCACTGTTTTACTGCTACTTTTATAGCTGGGAGTTAAACCTTACAATCTTATTTGAAAGGCTGACACAGTTTAAAATGATCAAATAACATGGTTGCAGTTATATGATAAATAGGCATAGCTTGTGCCAGCATCTTCTGTGTAGTGAAAGAACTTTCTACCTTCCCCTGTCTAACAGGAGGAGAGAGAACATGTGTGCAGTGCTGGGCACCTCACTTCCTCCCTGTATGTCTTCGGCAGGTTCCGTGTGTGACGTTTTTACTTCTGTTTGCTAAGTGGTGCTAAGTTGAACGTTGGACATTGTCTATTTGAACTATCTGAAATCATCCAGGTTTTCATGATACACAGCATCTTTTCAAAGCTGAGACGTTTTTCCCTTCGTGCGATAGTAGAAGTAGTTCCTAAATGTACACATTGATAGTTGGAAGTAGTTTGTAGTTTACTAGCTTTATAAAACTCAGTATTTTTTCCTCAAACTACTTTTCCAGACACCTGAAGTCAAATTTGACAATTTTAATACTCATGTACTTCAGAAGACGAGGTTAATAGAATGACTTTATTGAATGTAAATTAGGATTGTATTTTAGTAACCTTTCTGTTCACGTTCTTCTCCCTCTTTCTAGTGCGAGAGAAGAGGAAGAGTAACCACATCAATCATGTAAGTAAAACAAATTCTTAGTGTGCCATATAGATTATATTAGCGTTTTGGGACAAAGACAAATTCAAGAAACAACTGTAGTAGTTCTAGGTATATAGTCCTACGCGTGTTCCAAATCCTCCTTAGCAAGATAAAACTGAATTATCTTTGCCTGTCTTTTAAAAAACATACAGGCACAGTATCACAGAGCATGGAACGGCTGATGTCAAAAGAATAAGAATGGATTTTTTTGTTGTATCAGTCAAGCATTTTAGAACAGTACAGGAGAAAATATGTCAAACTGCCTACATTGGTTTTTTGAAGCAGAAATACAGCTGGATTAATTTATCAGCTGAGATGACAAGTCTTAAATGACTTGGTGTTTGAGCATCACTACAGGACTTATTGTAAGAAATGTATCCAGCATGAAAAGAGAATGATGAACAAACATCATCAGCATGATAAACAAATGATAATCCATTAGTTTTAAAATCTGAAAATATGCTCTAAGCTTCTCCTGCAAATATTAGTTGGTTTTGACACTTCACTTACAAAAAAAAAAAATACAAAGAAGATGCAATGTCATTAGTAAGTGGATAAAAAATTATTGACGAGTTAAGCTAAGAATGGAAGTTATTAACACAAAGTTTAAAAAATACTGTCTAGCAAAAGCATCTACTGATGAGTTACTGGTAAGATAATGATATTTCAAGTCTGTATTTTGTATGATTATGAGATGGTGGGGGTTTTTTCTTTTTTAATTACAGTTCCTGCTTTAGTCTGCCAGCACCAAGGTGAAGTGTGATTGGATTGTTTTTGCTGGCAAACTTCAGCAGAAATGGGAGATGTTCCCAGGCAGCCATTGAGTTGTGAAGGGTGCCAGCACTTACATATGGAAGGCTTTCAAGTTTTTAGACAAGGCGTTTGAAAAGATTCTGGCAAAAACTAATGAATCTTGAATTGCTTGATTAAAACTCCCCCATCAGTTATGGCATCCTAGCTCTAGTGCAAGGCATTCACTAACAATGCTCAGGGAAGCCTGACTTACTGTTACATAGGAAGATTTCTTACAGTATAAAATCTACAGGATTAGAATAGATGATGGAACATATTGCTGGCTCTGAATAGTAAAAGTAAGGGTAATAGTAGTACTTTATTTCCAGATTCCAGACATTAAACAAGATATGATTGAGGTGAGGAGTTTTTTCTGAAATATAACAAAACAACACCCCAAATGCAAAACTGTCTTTGCAGGGAGTGATACTGGATAACCAGAAAATGTAAAGGTATAGGATATAGAAGATCATTAGATTTCCCTGTGACTCCATAATCAAATACATTGCAGAGAGGGAAGACGGAGACAGGAACTGGCAAGAATGGAATGGAGAAGTGAGAAAATTGGAGGACTTGCTGCTTTAGCTGCAGCTATTTCTGCTAAAAATCACTTATCTAGAAACAACATGTTGTATATTACAAAGGCTGATTTATAAACCTATCTTACACAAAGGGTATCCTCAGGAACTTGATGGCTATAGGGTAGCTTACATAGCAGGAGCAAACGCCTACAAAGACCTCCTCTGCAGTAGCTACTTGAGGTGTAAAGGCAGTATTCAGTATGGTAAACCAAAGCTTACAGAATCCCTCTTCTTGAATGTATTTCTGTTCTTCCCCCCCCGCCAAGGTTTCTCCTGGGCAGCTTACGAAAAAATACAGCTCGTGCTCAACAATATTTATAGATGACAGCACCGTCAGTCAACCTAACCTTAGAAGCACAATAAAGTGGTAAGAATTGCTTGTCATCAACAAGGGGCTGCGTAGCATTGCAAGGTCTGTTAGCGTTGTCTGTTCCAAAGCCAGGTGCGCCTTAAACAAGAGGAGCACAGCACTGCTTGTTTGGGTTGGTCGTGGAAGGGGTGTAGAGGTCTGGTTCATTATGACTGCTGAAGCGAACTTTTTTTTTTAGTTACAGAGCTAATGCACTGTTGTATTTCAAAGTAGTTATCATTGTGCACTTGAGAATTGAGGCAGTGCAGAAGTGTGCCAGCATTTTGGGTTTAAAAATGTGTGTTGGGGTGGGGCACTCAAAGGCTTCACATTGAAAGGCAAATCCAGAAACTGTCAATCTGGGAAAACTTGAGATGGACTTTGTATGGAATTCCAGGAAAAGTTTGCAGGGCTGTCTTTGCTGCTTGCCAGTGGTATTAGTCTGCCCTCTAGTTGTGGATATCAGTATGTTGCTGGCTTTGGTTGTAGTTCTAGCCTTTCTACTTTTTCTTTGTCTGTTATTTTAGGTAGGTGAATTTAATAATTGTTTAGTCGTCTTGGTTCTCCAATGGAAATGGCTGTTTGTGGTACCCAGAACAATAGCTCGGAGTTCTGTGCGCATAGATGACACCAGCTGAGAATTGAGAAGAGTTTTACTCTTGAAGGGAAAGGAAGGCAAGGTAGCTTCAGGCCCAGAAGGCTTTACTGTTTTAACAGCTTAGCAGAGTTTGGAAATGTCTTAAGTTGATTGTTGCTTTAAAGTTTGGTTTCAAACAAAGGTATCTAGCATGTCACTCCTTTTCTAGAAAGGAGGAACCTAAAAGATGGTGCTTGTGCTGTTTTGAAGTCGTGTACACTGGCAACAGATCAGAGCTTGCCCATGACGGATTCCTGTGATGGTAGTGTTCCTGTTGTCACTGCCAGTAAAGTATCTGAAATTTGGGCACAGTGGATGAGTGCCAATATGAAATCTATTGCCTTACTTGACTCAGCAGAGACTGAGATCTGTTCTCGTCCCCTTCTTGGATTATGCTAGCATAATATCATCTTTATTCTCTTTTTTTAGACAGATCCTAAATTAGACAGCCAGGAATACAGACTTAAAACATCAGCAGAATCTCTACAACAGTGTATGTAACATCAAGTAGAACTTATAGTATAATTTAGTTGTGAATAGTCCACATTTTCAATAAATGTCAACTAATCAGGCAATGAAGGTCTGTGTTTAAAATGCAGTGTAACATTTATTTCATGGCACAAATATCTGTACAATGAATGTGAAAGTAGTTTGACTGGCAAATTTGATTTGGCCAGTTTCTGTTCAGGCAGGTGAACATCAGAAACGAGACACAGAGTACATGAGAATGTGAGAGGAAGCCCATATGTAATGGATTCTGAACATTGTGCCCTGAACAACAGCTTTCGCAGTGGAATAGTGTGCACAGAATATGCTTTAAGTCTTCTTTATTTCTCTTTTTTAGTGTAACATTAGCAATATTCTACCATATAAAGAACAGGTGAGTGAACTTTTTTTTTTGCTGAAATAAAACAACTTTGTTTTGAGCCAGAGATATGGACTTAGTCACTTCAGTAACAGCTAGTATGACTTAAAGGAGTTGAAAAATCTGGCACTTATGCTATATCTGCCTCCTCTTTGTTACCCCCTCTTGAGCTGATATGGAAGAGGCCAGTACCAACCAATTGAATGGCACATGCTTCATCGAGAATGAAGCATAAAAAGTCAAAACCGAGGGAGTAAGGAACATACGCTTAACTCCCCACAAATCAGCCTTGGGACTTTGTTTAGCTTTTCCTGAATACAGAGGTACAGATTAGTTTTGATGGGTGAAGGAGCACTGTCCCACGTACACATAGCCTGTGCCATTATAGCTAGTTACAGCATGTGCTTCAAAATTACAGCTGCCTTTTTGAAATACATGCTATTAATGAGATGGTTTCACATTTTAAGGGAGAACATAATGTGAGAACATGGATAGCTATTCATAGTTTAGCTTCTTAAACAGTCAGTTGTAAGATCTCATTGTTAAATGCTTTGCAAAAATACAATATAACTTCATCAAGAAAAGCTGAACTATAAAATTTGTTCCTTTATCTTCTTTAACGAATAATACTTTTTTAGTGGAGGATAGCATTACCAATTAACTCTTGTTGCTAAACCAGAGATTTTTACTTTGTAGAGATTCTGACAGATCATTGGATATTTTTGATGAAAAATCTCATCCTCTCACAGTAAGTGTAACTTTTTGATCCCCTGAATGTGTATCAATATGCATATTTTTAACATCTTCATTTGTATTGTCTAAGTCATAAAAATGCCTTAGCACCAGGTCACAAGCAAATTGATCTTAAATCGTATCTTTATATAGAAAATACAGTGCAAACAGTGTCCTCTGGACTTCTGATATCAGCTAGATCATGATCAGAACCCAGTCTTTCTAAATGTTGCAAAGTATGTTTGGTTTTCTGTGCTCTGAATATAAGTAGAAAGCAAGAACGTGCTGATTCTTGCATATCTTGTATGCAGGCTTTCTTGTCTGACTCCTTTCTTTCCCTCTTTAACACTACTTTAATTAAAAGTCTTTCCTATTTATTTAGGAAGACATGGTTCGTAGGTATGTGCCTAACCTTTTAAATGACTGCAAACAGGAGACCATAATACGTGAAGCATCACACAAAGTAGTAGACAGTGAGTTTGGTCTTTTAAAAAAAAACCTGAAAGGCAAAATTCTAAAGCAAATGCGCTTAATGCTGCTTGCATTAAGCTAGGAGCATTCAGCATATGATTTCAATGTGACTGATCCTGGTACACCTTTTTAGACAATCTATAAGATGCAAAACCTCATAGTAGAGGCAAACTCGAGAGTGGGGCACGTGCTTTTTATGTCCAGTTTGAGCACTACTAGCTTAATGACTGTCCTACAGAACCACTTCCTTTTGGTTCTCATTTGAAATGAATTTAGCAAAGCTCTAGTGGCTTTAAGAATCCAGTTTGCTCTGGGACTTAACTGAGTGAATGCAGCTTAATCTATCTCACAGATTTGGCTTGTTAATAAACAGTTTTTAATAAACAATTAAATATTTTAAGTTTGTTAAGAGTTTCGTCCCTAAATGTGACACATTGTGCTAGGAATTGTACACCTGAATAAACGCAACTCTTTATTCAATAAAAATAATGAACTTCAGAAGAGCTACATAGAAAGTATGTTTTAACTGCCTGAATCTGTTGTTTCACATTGAAAAATATTTATGTAAGATGAACTACACTTCATCAGACAATTTCTTTTCTTTATTTAGCAACCTGACATCTTTTGATCCTTTTGTATAGCCTACCTCCTATTTAATGAGTACGAATAGAGGAAAATCATTGTGTCCTTTACTGGACACTCTTACCTGGCTATTTTAAGCTACAAAACCCCATGAAAATGCTTGCTGCTTTGCTTACCTTATGACTACTTGTTTAATGTCAAGCAGCTAAGCTGTTCTGGTGTCTTTATCATACTATAGGTCTAACTTGGACTGTAGATAGAAACCAATTTGCTATCGATCTTGCACAACCAGTGTGTAAAGCTGGAGCTCTTGAAGTTTCATCCCTCCAGGAAGAGTGCTGAATATCAGAATGTCTGAGGGTCAGAATGCTCAAACACTCATTTTAGGATTGCTTTTACAGACTGCTTATTTCCAAGCTTTTCTCCTCTGTATTTAGAAACAGCTGAGCATCAGTTAAATCTAGCTGTTCATTAGCTTTCTTGTCTTTCTGGAATCTCTGAAGAATGAGTCCTGTGAAGACAGCATAAGTTACCTTCCAGTTCTACCTATGACAGAATTCTTGACAATGTGTTCTTCAGCTTTTCCTCAGCTTGAAGGGGAATCTCGTGAAGTCTCTGAATTTTGGCTTTTGAAGCACCAGTGCTTCCCTGGTGTGTATATATCTGTGATTTTCTTGCAGGGAGAAAACCCCCCCCTTTTTTTTTTGTCTGTAAAATGTTCCATGGACAATAGTTAGCACCTAATGTAATGATGGTAGTTCGTGGTCTTTCCCATTAGCTTTACAGATCAAAAAATTGTTCAAAATGACAACATCAGCTAAGGCTCTCGTGCTTTGTTTTGGAATATTCATAATATTGCAAGGCTGCTTGGTGCTTTCAGTATATGATTTTGTTCTGTGTCTGTGACAGGGAAGGGTTGTATACACTTCTACTCGGTGAGAAGAAATAACCATGTGCGGCTGTTCTTTAAAGTCAGTTTTAGGTAAGACAGATTTTCAGTAATGCAGAGAACTTTCTTTCAGCGGGAAGAAGTTCCGGATGACTACTACAAGCATGACCCTGAACACAAGCACATCTACCGGTTTGTTCGGACGCTTTTCAGTGCTGCACAGCTAACAGCTGAATGTGCAATAGTGACACTGGTAAGAGATGCCTGATTACAGAAACTTGAGGTTTTGGAAGACTTTTTTTTTCCCTCAGTGAGTGACTGGGCTGAACAGACATTTTAATAGTTACGGTATCTCCTGAAACCTTGTTAATAACGAAGACGCTGTACAAGTGAGTTCATTAGAGAAGGTTTGTAACTAGTCACAGAAGTGGTTAACTAAAAAGGAACTTACCTTTTCTATTTATGAATATGTAATGCTTAATTACTTGTCCAGTCAAACATTGTTTGTTTCACGATATGTAATTTGCTGCAGAAGCTTGAGAAAGGCGCTCAAAACACCTTTCAAACAAGTGAAAGGGACACCACAAACAGTGGGGTATAATAAGATCAGACACGAAGACATCTTTTATTTCAGTTGTGTGGAGAGGAAAGTGAGAGTTTCGAGTTCATATTAACCAGAACAGTACAAATAATGCTGCCTAAGGGGTTGAGGATCAATACTATAGGAACTCCAAATGATGAACTTTCTCATTATTGTGTCCTTCGATTATTGCCACCTTTATATCAAACAATTTTATTAAACCAAAGAGGCTACAACTTTTTCCCCAAGGTGACATGGAGGTACTTGGAACTTAAGAACAACAGTAAGAAAATAATTTAATTAGTTTGTTTGATTTCAAAAAGCAAGATGGATATTAAAAAAATGACAATGATATTGATTATTTATACACATGCATATACATATATAATGAAGGGAAAGAAAAAAACACAACCTATGTAATTGCTGCATTAGATAATCTGTTAAATTGCACTTTGTTGCATACTAGACTTCAGTCTTCATTGTGGCTTCTTTCTGAAAAACAGTCTGAAAGGAGAACAGAAGAGAACTGTCACCAAAAGACAATGTGGCAATTAAGCAAACTCAGCTCGAAGGACTGTCTTTAATAAGGAAAATAAGTAATTAAAAAGGCCAGATAGTTAGAGCTATTGAAACTCTGAAAGTAGTTTGAGGTTTTTGCTTTTCCAAAGACATGCAAGCGATTTTGACAGAACAAGATGATCGCTAACCCCAGGCAATCTAGCCAGCTGAAGTTTTTACAAAAAACAGAAATTGTTTTAAAAGTGGATTTTACCACTAGATGGCTCTGTTATTATAGGAACACTTTTAGTCCACTTGAAGGCTACTAGCAGAGGGTGGGAAGAACCATGGGCAGACCCTAGTAATATAGATTGTTCCTGCCCTTAGATCTGTACAACAGCTTCCTGCACCCACTAGTTCATCTGAGGTTTTCTTAGGACCTTGGACTTATTAAAACCAATCTATACTCAAATTTGAGTAAAGTGGAAATTACTTAGTATATGGATCATTACAGGAGTGTGAAATAGCAGAAAGCTTTTAATGAAGGAACTGATTCAACATCTTTCGACTGATTTGAGATTATGTGGGAGGAATGAGTAAAAGACCAAGACACATCTTTGGACTTGAGTATATTTCGCTATCTAAGCAGTTGGTGATGTAGAGGAAAGCAGAGGATGACATCATAGGTGAAGGACTGAAGCCTGTTCTTTACAGGGTGAAGTAGAACTAGCACTGTAACACCTTTCATTGTGGAAAGATAGCAATTAGTGCATCTTCATCCCATGCCTACAGACCACGGTGCAGGTTTTAGCACTTCCTGTTAAGCTACAAGCGCCGAACCTTAACCGTAATGAAAGGCTAGCGTGATGTTACTGTCCCTGATAGGCCCTGATGACAACCTGTCAGTGACTGTGTGACTCGATGATAGAAAGAACTCTAGCAGTGTCTCACTGAAACAGCAGTGCTCACTGCTCAGAACTGATTCTGAGGTATCGTATACCTTGGTGATCCAGTTCTTGTGTTGTACTGAAAAACAGAACTTCTAACTCCTGAAAGCTGGGATTCTAAAGTGTAAGTAGTAATCACTAATACTTATTTTGACACACTTAACAGTAATGGGATAAAATAGTCATACTGGACTGGCATGCTCACTGCTCAGAACTCGGCTCCAGGTCTTAATTACACACATAAAACTGTGGTGGTTTGTTTGGTTTGTTTTTTTTCCTTTTTATAGGTTTATTTGGAAAGGCTTTTAACCTATGCAGAGATAGACATATGCCCTAGTAACTGGAAGAGGATAGTCCTGGGAGCTATTCTACTGGCTTCTAAAGTCTGGGATGATCAGGCTGTGTGGAATGTGGATTATTGCCAAATATTGAAGGACATTACTGTTGAGGACATGTAAGTTGCAAGGTTTGGCTAATCTGCAGTGGTGGGTTGTTTTGGTTTGGTATTTTTTAATGGCAACTTTTGTGATCATACTGAAAAAAGGTCTGCCTCTGGTGCTATATGTACATGATGTATCTCTGGTGTCCGACCTCATTCCCTTTTTTAACCTAGGAAACTTTGGATAACCCTACTTTGAGACAAATATGTATTAATATTTCTAATGACTTGGGTGAGTAACTTCAAAGTTAGTTTTCTTTACCTTCTTTCCCCCAGTGATAAACCATGGGACTGGCTGCTTGTTTCCACTATTTTTTTTCATTGGTGTAACTCTGAAGTGCCTAATTTATAGTCTTATCAAAAGTCTTTTTGAGAAGAAAAAAAAAAAGTGAACTATATCTGTTCCCTGCCTTCTCCATTTTAGAATTTGAAAAATTGCAAAGTAAGCCGTAACTTGTGACTTAGGTGTCTGCTCTTGTATCCAGCTAAGGCCTAAATATCTCAAGGTCAGAATTTCTAGTTGCTGCTGCTGGCAGACAGATGTTACTGGTGTTGGTATCTGTGGCTGCATGTGTTATGTCCAGCTACTGCTACAGCTCATCCTCTTTGAGTGAGTTTCTAGACTTGCCAACAGTGCTGAGAACAAAATCCTCCATCTTACTACTTGGTGCACTCAGCTTCAAGCCCTACAATTTCTGCAGATTCAGAGGATGTTCATCCTCGTGGTTCCAGGCTCATACTACGGGCTGGAGGCATGCTTATGTGGAGTGGATTTGGCCCATTAGTTTTTCTGATAAATTCCTTCTTGTAAAGTTCTGTCTCTGAGAGCTTTGAGATGTAAACATTATTGTTTTAATTCTATTTGCCAGCTCGTTCCTCTATTTCCTTTATTACCACAGTGATAGAAATGCTAGCAGGCAAGCTTAATATTATGCTTTCTGGCCTTAATAAACTTAATGACATGTTTTATGTGTTTTGGAGTTTTATCACACTGTTGTGCTGTAATTGAGCATGTGTGCAGGCCTATGCAGTAACACTCAATTGTAGTAGAAGAGCAGAGTGAGGTGCTAGAGCTTTGCACACAGCACTGGGAGGCTACCTACGTGAGTGTCTGTTCTTGCCCTGAGCTCTCTTCCCTGGATTCAGCCTAAAGCTAATGCTTAAAATACAGGAAGTAATTATTAATCTGGGACCCCTTAGGAGGAGGAATATCCGGTTTTCTTCCTTTTAGGTGGGGGGTGGCCTTTCTAAAAATGGGGGAGTTACTGCACCAAAACATTTTTTTGTTATTCAAGTTATTGCACATCACAAACAGCAACAGCAAACGTAGTACCTTGTTTTATATATCCCCCTTGCCTGGGAGTTCTTTGTCTCCAAATGCAGGGCTGTGCCAGCCATGCTTTCAGGAAAGCATAATTAGTGATTTTATACAATGTACATCTTCACTGAACCTGGCTCAGAGTGCTCATCTATCTCAGGAACATACTTGAAGTGTTGCTGCAAATAACTCTGAGATGGCTGAAGTGGGGTCAGTGATGTTGGAAGTGCTGGAGTATACATCTTGCTCTTTTTGATGTCTCTTCTTCTGGCCCTATTTGGGACAAATCAAATTGATAGCACTGAAAATATCTGTAACAAGCAGGATGTTTACTCTCTATTGCTGATGCTGGGTCTCCTGAAATTGTCAGTACTTAGGTTTTCAAAGCAGTGATGGTGGTAGTGAAAATAGGCTGAATTTAGGCTTCCCCCCCCGCCCCCCAATTTGAAGATGGATTTTTTTGTAATCCCATCTCATTTGAAATGACTTAGACCTTTTAATTTAGGTAGGGGCAGAAACTGTACAACCCCTTTCTGACAGTGGCCCAGGGATGTCCATCCCAGGCCCCGCACTGCTGCAGCTTGGCAGGCTTCACTGCTCCTGGGTTGGATAACATCACCGTGATCAGGACCTAGGAAAACTGCTTAAAATACTCAGCAAAATTGAGTTTTAAGTTTATAAGTCTGCTTAGTACTATAGTTAATGGTCAGCTTTAGTTGTTCCAGTATTTTTTTTAACTAGTTTCTTCATGGTGAGTATTAGGTATTCTGAATACAAGCATTACTGACAGAAAACAATTGGCAGAGGATTTCAGGCATGGATTATTTTTTTTTTTTTTTTTACTGAGAGGGGTTCTTCTTTTAGTTTTTGGGTGTTTTTTTGTTTTGTTTTACTTATTTCTAATGGGGAAAAAATCAAAGGAAATTAAATTGATATTTGGAAGTCATCCTTTGTCAAAACTTGCTTGCTTTGATGAGAGTGAATCCATAATCACTGAAAAATTAACTGTGCAGCTGCTAATCTTGCTATGATCGCTTGTAAGGGGACACATGTTGTTCATTCTTTTGGCTACATATATTTGTAAATAAGGCACAGAGAACACATGGGCATTATCCTTTCCCAGGGTTTAAACCACTGTTAATAGACTTGTTAATCCAATGAAGAATTGTATTTTTACACAATTAAAATGTATTAGCGTAGCGAGTACAAAAGGGGCAGTGAAGAGCATTTATTCACAGGGTAAATCAAGCTCTGATCAGCTGATCATCAAAACATTATCTGATTTACATTTCTATAGGCTTATGACCATATGAACAGGAAATTAATTTTGGCACTAGGTTCAATGGTACTCAAGTCCACCATGGTAGAAACAAGCACAAAGCTGCTATTCATATTGAGACCTGCCATCCAATATTGGACACAACCTGGATGATGTCTTGATTTATTTCCCCCCCTTTTACCTTCTGCTAGGTAAAACATCAATTTTAACAGCTCCCCAAAAGCAAGAACAGCCTTGGCACTGAATTTGTGCAACTTATCTTCTGGTGTATTCACAGCTGGCCTGTAAGAGCTGCTAAATTCTGTTGAGACAGGTCTGCTACCAGTAGGAACAATCGTTGGGTTAGTGTTGGAACTGAATTGCTTGGCTTGGGCACCATCAGTTTCTTTCAGGTTAACTTGTAAAACATTGTTTTTCCTCTGTAGAACATCTCCGATTTAGCTGACCATGGTACAGTAGCTGAAGCAGCCTTTTTCATGCCATGGCGCTCTCCCCACTTTCCTCCAAATATTTTGCCCAGTGAAAATAGACGAGTGAGTAAAAACTGGACAGTGCCCTTTGACATAGTACTTTGTTATCCCGCCTAATGCTATTGAGGAGAAAATTCCTTCTCCCACCTAATGCTGCTTATTTATTTATTTATTGGAGATGAATCCATGTTGCTTCAAGAGGCTTTTTTCTGTGAGATAATAGCAGCAGCTCTTCATAGATCCATTTGTTGCCGTGGTGATCTGCCTACTCCTTTTGTTAGTCCGCCTCTACTTCAATAAACCCCCTTCCTGTTATCAGCCTGGTGAAAATGTCTGCAAGTTCTTCAGAGCTAATAAACAGCATACATCATTCCTTTCATCTGATCACTATAGTGTGGGGCCGTACGAGAGTGAGAATGGCGCATGAATTGTACAGCTGCACTAATGGAACTCCGAAGAATGAACCTCCCCGGTCAGCCGAGCGAGTGCACGACAGGGCACTACCTTTCTCTCTGAGCCAGAGGTGCCAGGACTCAAAAGCTGCACCTTGTTTGAGCACTAGTGAATGACCTGTCTCTTGAAACTAATAATGCAGAGCTCTCGATGACGATTTCAAAGTTGCTGGTTTTAAAAACAAGCTTGAGGTTTCTTCAGGGTTTTCAGCCAGCTAAAACTGACTTTTTTCCTTTGTCTTCTGTCCCTTAATGCCTCCTAGGAATGAGATGGAAAGACACTTCTTGGAACTACTGCAGTTTAATATCAATGTTCCTGCCAGTGTTTACGCCAAATACTACTTCGATCTTCGCTCCCTAGCAGATGACAATAACCTGAGCTTTCTGCTGGAGCCTCTCAGTAAAGAGAGAGCACAGAAACTGGAGGTAATGGTCTGAGATTGGCTGAGCAGGGGACTCTGTGTCATAAGAGCATCTGTTGCTAATCATACTAAGTGGCAGTTAGAAAACCTAAAAAGCTTTTAGATTAGTGTATTACAGGTTAATTTAACCCCTTTATAGCTACAGTTAGCACTTCTAAAACCATGCCTAGGCTAAGCTAGTATTCCGAGGGAAGGACAGAGATGATGGAAGTCTAGCAGATTGCAAAGTAAAATGGATGTTACTTTGGGAACCATAGCTCAGCTAGGCTATTTAAGATTGAAAGGATTAATGTCATATTTAATTGATTGTTTGTCCTTCCCTGGTCACAGTCTGTATTCCAAGCACCTAGAGACAGTCACATTCAGACCTTTCTAAATACTACCAGCTGAAGGTTTCCCACTGCACAGCTGCTTTTAGATTAGAGGGAGCACTCTTACTGCTCTCATGGTTTAATAAACCATTTGTTTGGGGACAGCTGCAGAAATATGTTTCACAACTTTTAGAACCTCACCTTTCCAAAGAAATGTTGCTTTAAGGTAAACTTTTGGAATAGCCATTTCATAAGAGTCCTTCAGAATATCCAGAGGAGCGTAAATACAGATATACTGGCCCTTTCTGCTGGATGGGAAAGGCTGCCCTTCCCTGAGTCCCTGGAGCTGCCTTTGTTACAAAGGCTCGTTTTAAAAAACTTGAACTTTTGCAGAGTCAGTCTGTCTTCCCAGTTGTTGGAGATACGGAAGACGTTTTGAAAATATCTAAATTACCTGGGTTCCCAGGCAAAATTTCTTGTTGGATCAATGCAACCTTTCATCTGTCCAGGTTTAATTGATGACTCTCCATGTTGTTTTGTTGACCTTTCAACAAAGGCATTACCGCGGGCCCTGTGTACACTGATACCATAGCCCCTTTCACAGAGGGGTGTGCTACGGTATTCTCAGCTTATATTGTTCTATTGTCCACCCCCAATAATTCTGCCAAGTGCCAGGGTTTTTTTATTTTGTCCCAGAAGTGGCTGAACTTTGGGAATAAGTGTGGTCCTTTCTGGTCCTTTGGAATGATAGGTATGATATGCCTATGAATTCCTCTATGTAAAGTTAAGCAATGCAGCTCTTCTGCTTTGTCTCACCCTTGTTACTTGCACTTTAAGCTAACACTGTCACTAATTGTAAATGTGGTTGTAGGGCAGTTCATATTCCACAGGAAATTGTTTACTGAACTGCTCAGTGCCCAGGCAAAGTGGATGATTTACAGATTGTGAGCCTGTTTTGTTTCTTCTTTGCTAGCATTTGGGGGCTTAGTATTTAAAACCGGAGTAATTTTGAGTACAGTATGTGATTTACCATAATGTGCTTACTAATGCATGTATGTAGGACATTTTGGGGTTTAATTCTAAAATGTGAGAAATATTTAAACCATTTGCTCAAATTTTTAATTCTACCTTTCGGTTAGAAGCACATGAGCAGTTGATAGAAGCCTGTATGAAGCAGTGAATTAGTATTCCAGGGACTGAAAACTGATTTACACCATATGGGCGACTGGGGCTAAATATGTCAACACAGGTTGCTTTATGATTGATGTGCTAGCATTAAAACAGGATGGAGAGTCTGTCTGGTCTTGCACTGGGAGCTCATGCAGCCAGTGTCTCAAAGAATGCCACTCTTGAGCCAAATGCATGCCTCCAGAAGGTCGGCAGAAATAAATGTAAATAATTATTTTAAAATACACTTAGAAGTTTATTCATGCTCAGAGTGCTTTTCACCTTTTGAACTTCCAGAACACTGGGCTGTGCTGAATGGGTGCTGCCTTAAAGGGAAGGTGTAGGCTCGTAGCTGATCGCAGGACTCTGAAAGTTCATCTGGTTATAGGTGGTAAATTATTAATGGAGGTAAATGTTCAGGACTAAAATTCAGTTCAGCCTTTTATTACAGTATCCTTATTTATTTGCATTGATAATACCTGAAGGTTCCAATCAGAAATTGGCCTTGCAGGGGAGGACACACAGTGTTTTGTGGACAATCATGTGTTGTTAGGATTTAAATAATTAGGCTTGCTACTAGAATAGCTATGCCTGAATAAAGGTTGCTTGACTAGGTAGATAAGCAGAGCAGAGGTAAGCCAATAAATGGGTGAAAAAGCAGTTAAATATTAAGTTGTCCACATGTGCTCATATTTAATAGCTGTATTAAAGTGCCATGGCCTTTGTCATGTCATGGAGCAGTGGGCTGCCCTCCCTTCTCAGACCTCTTCCGGAGCTTGATCATGTGAGTGATCCTGGGAAGAGCATGTTGCAGGCAAGGGTGCAGAGAAGGTAAAGGCAAAATGGACAGCCTAGCAGAACTTCATTTCCTAGGCTTTCTTGCACTGAGTGGCCGTGGGCAAGGTGCCTGAGGGAGCGCAGAAACCTTTTCAGTCTGAACCTTTTCTCTCATAGAAATGGCTGTGTGTGTTTTTGTACGGCTAAATTTTTTGTGCTGCTGCATGCATCAGACCTAGCTACTAGGTGCAATTTTGAATGTAACTTCCACAAACTTGTAAGTCTGAAATGGATCAAAGTTTTTCATTAGATAGTGAGACTGGTAAGAGAATGAAGGTACTTGGATATGGAAGCCACTCACCTTTCTTATGTCTTACTTTCTGATGGACAGCGTTCTTGTTAGCATGGGGACAGACCTTTTTAATATTTTCCCTCCAAACTAGTTCTTTTTTACCTAGAATGAGAGTAAGTAAGCTAGTAGCGTCACTGCTACAGAGCGCCTGCTCTGTCGGTGTTACACTTGTAAAAGCTTCCTTGAAATGTTCAAACTTTTCTAATGCGTACTTTTCATTTTGTATCTGAACGTGGTATCCAGGCTATCTCCCGGCTGTGTGAAGACAAATACAAAGACTTGTCAAAAGCTGCTATGAGACGATCTTTCAGTGCTGATAACTTAGTTGGTATTCGCCGTTCTAATGCCATCCTCTCCTGAGGAGAGAGAAGGGTGCCGCACCATGAACCAGCATCCATATGAATCGGAGGAGTACCACCACTCCATGCACACAAGCCAGCGGTGATGGTGTCTTCCAGCAAGAGGAGGAGAGGAGAGTAAACTAGCCAAGGGAGCCCAGAGCTTGAGGAGCATACTTGGTGCAAAAGACAAGACCTTTGTCAAATCAACTCTCTCCTCCTTGTAACGTATCCAGAGGTGCAAAAACAAACTTCTCTCCCCCACAGATGTTTGCTTACTATGTAGGCCTATAGCTGTGAACTCTTGACATTTTTAATAATAAGTAGTTTTAAATTTTAGAATTTAAACACTAACCACATGACTATAGTTACAATGTTCTTCCCTCCTCTCCCCTGTCATCCAGAGTCTCGCTGCATTTGTATTTCAGGTCGATGCAGTGTTAACAAAAACAAAACATGGGACTCTTAAAGTATAAAGCCACTCTGGAGCTGAAAACAGTAGCATAGACACGTGTTGACAGCTTTTCCCTGGTTTGGCTATTAAAAGCTGCTATTATTTGTGATCTGTTCATAACCAAGAAGCTGCCCAGCAGGAAGGAATTCCAACTCTGCACCCACAACTTCACTCCAGTAGAGATTGATTGTCAAAAGACTTTGAATGTTTTGACTGGGGGCAGAGATATGGTTTTATGTATTGTTAAAATGTATAGGGTCCATGCTGCATTTCTTGTGAATTATGGTGCTTCTCTCATTTTCTAATACTTATATTGCTCTGGAGGAGATGCAATCGGTATATTTTTTTCGGAGGCATTGAATGAGAAAGTTGGTCTGGAAACATCATCACCATCCCAAACAGTGTAGCAATCCAGTGGTGAACGGCGTGTGTGCAGCACTGCTTCTCTGAGTTCAACTGCAGATCTCTTGTGCTATATACAGTGGAGTTCCTAAAGCTGATACTGTGCATCCATCTGCCTCTCCTTAGGTTTTTGTTTCCTGGGGGAGGGATTTACATTCATAATGAGACAGTAATGAGTTTGAGAATCCTGGACTACCTAACAAGGTAGATGATTGAAAAATACTGTGTTCAATTGAGAATTATCAAAAAGCTTTCTATAAAACCCTTTCCCCCCCCCCCCCCCACAAACAATTTTCCCCCCCAAAGTTAAGTTTATCTTGTGCAACTGCTCTAGAGGCTTGGGTTTTGCTCTTTCTGAAACTTTGCAATGGAGCTTACTTTCAGGCTCTGAAACCGAAGTCTAAACAGGATAAGTATTATTAGACTCTTCCTGTTACAAGTCTTTGTAGTATCTTCCCTTCTTGGATCCAAATAGATTCTAGGCGGTTTGTCCTAGGAAGGAGGGAGGATCTCTCTCCGAATGGCACGGGTTTTGTGCACTTCCTCTTCCAGCCAAGGCCCAGAAGCTTAACACTGAATAGCAAGTACGTATGCCTTTGAGAGTGGGGCTGTCCGAGTGTAATCATCAGTTTGGCTGCACTCACTTGTTAAAAATGATGCATATAGTCTTCTGTGGTATGCAACTATGCCAGCCCCTGGCTCCCAAATCCATGGAACCTGGCACTTCAGGTATTGATCACAATTCAATTTTGAAAATAACGCTACATCTTCAGGTGGTTTTCCTTTCTCATGTTTGTATTAAAAGAAAAGCTAATAAACTCTATTTTAATTAAAGCTAAAGGTGAATTGTGTGTTCTGTACAGTTGTCTGATTTGATTTCCCCCAGCGTGTGTGTTAAGGCCCCTCCTTGCCCTGTACCAGCCCTTGCCTTCATTTTATCATGGTGACCAGTGAAGGTCTGGGGAGCCGGCAGCAGAGGTCATGCGGCAACTGTGAAGGGCCCGGTTGGTGGCGCAGGGCAGGGCCCTGGCAGCAGCCTGCTTCCGCTGAAGGCGCGGTAGAGTCTTGCACAGCTGCCGGGCTATTCCCATGTGTTGCTCAGATTTAGAATTTGTCTTGGGCTGCTCAAGTAATTACTCGCTGACAGTTTCTTTGCACTTAAATGGCCTTTAAGTAGGGACAGTCTTTCTGGAGGTCATTTGATGGTTTTTGAGTCCTCCCTTGAGGAGCACTAAATTGGAAGCTACAAGTGACCAACTCCCGGATTGACTTGTGACCTAATTGCTAATGAGCTTTTCTTTCTGTAGCACCGCCAGGGATGGGTCTGGCTGTGCTTTGTGGGCTGGCACACAGCTTCTGCAAATGCAGCTGTTCAGCTGTGAGGTGGCTCAGCGGAAACTTGGGGCATTTACCTTTTTTGCCAAATGAG